GGGGCCGAGGTGTAGACGGGCGGGGTCGGCTCCTTGGACGGCGCATCGGAATTCCCTCCACTGGCCGTCCTTCCGCAAGCATCTCAGGACACGCTGGACTTTGCGGGGGGCCGCACCAACGGCTGCTTTGAACGCGATCGAGAACTTCGTGGCGGGGAGGGGGGTGAGCGCGCGAATGTCGCAGTCGTCATCGCGGAAGTTGAGCTCAGCAAGGAAGGCGCCAATCTCGCCCCGCACACCCTGGAGCCCAACCAACTTCGTAGCCACCACGATAACTTGGGACGGATCAGTCTCACGATCGAAGCCACGGGGGACGAAGGGTTTCGCGGGGGTCGCTTTGTCGAGCTCGACTTGCTTGCGGATGCCGGAGTTTTTTTCTGCATGGCGATGATCTGCCGCTCATGCTCACCCGGGGTATGCTCCGACTGAGAGACGCGCTTGGTGAGCGCACCCTGCTGCATCTGGAATCTCCGGGCGAGCTGGTCGAGCTGGGGGCGAATCGACAACCTGGACGTGCCCAGAAACCTGCTGGCACTGCACATCCAAGGTCTTGAGGATCGGGTCATTGGCGGCCTGGAGGGACGAGGAGGCCGCAGCTTTGACCATGTCATCGAAGCTGCCGCGCAGGGAGAAGAAGCGTGCCTCGATGCCAGCACGATAGTAGTGGATGTTGAAGCCGGGAGAGTCGCCCACGTCGTCGTCGGCGTCAACGTGGTGCACCTGCGGTTCGGCACGCTCAGGGTGTGCAGCGCGAGCAGGGGCATCGCCACGCGGAGGAAGCCGAGCTGCAGCTTGTGCCCAAGGGTCGGGAGGGCGACCAGCAACTTCATCTGGGAGGGTGGGGAGGATGGCGTCCGCCTGCAGGATGCAGGTTTGCTGGCTGTCGGAGAGGCACTGGCCCCCCGCAAGCGCCGCCATCCAGGCAGCTGGGGCGCCAGGGCCCATCCCACGATAAGATGCAGGAGCAGGCGGACGACGACCCGCTTCAGGAGGAACATCCCAGCCACTGGACCGCTTAGGTCTTCCCGAGCGTAGGAGGCTCCCCTGCCTTGGGGCGGGACCGGCCACGCCGCTCCGCATCCACAGCACTGCTGTCGCTGCGAAAGATAGAGCGAGCAGGCGAGGCCCCGCGATTGCCATCGGACATCTGGGAGGCGGGACGGCAGGAGGGTTGTGGAGCACTGGATGCGAGGGACATCGGGCGCAAGCGCTTTGGCACTGCCGCGGACTAGCGGTATCCGTTTGTCTCCTTGGGGAACACGCGTCTTGAACCAAAATGGCTCCGCAGGAGGAGGAGGATCAGGAGAAGGAGAAGGAGGAGGATTAGGAGGAGGAGGAGGCGGAGGAGGAGGAGGAGGAGGAGGAGGAGGAGGAGGAGGAGGTGTTGTGTGCTCCCCTGCAAATGCTGAGCGTGCTCGCGGTCTGGGACGACAAAATGGAAGAAGGGCAGGCGGTCAGGAAACGGTGGTGAAAAGGAGGAGGAGGAGGAGAAGGAGGAGAAGAGAAGAGAGAGGAGAGATGGCGAGAGAGAGAGAGAGAAAAAGAAAAGACGGGAGAGACAGTGTGAGAAAAAGAAAAAATGAAGGAAGGGAAGATGGATAGGGTGAGGGGGAAGAGAGCGATAATGAAGAGGAACGGGGGGAAGCATGAGCTCCAAGCGACGAAAGCAAAGGAGCGAGAGGAAAGGAGCAGCAGCGACGGCGAGGTCCTCCCTCGTCGTTCCCATCCCTATGCTTGCTTATTATCCTTCTGGCTGCCCCCCTTCATCGTGATTGAATCGTCCTCGTTGCGTCTCCTCCTCCTCCTCTTGCCCTCCTTGCCGCCCACGCTTGGGCCGCCCACGCTTGGGCGCGCAACACGCGCATGCGAACGTATCCAGATCACCACAAAACATCCAGAAGCACCTTCGATACCCTCCCGTCCCCCCCTCCCCCCCTACCAGATTCCCTCATCACCTCCCTCATCGTTGGTGCTCCTGCTCCTTCTCTTCATCCTTGTCCTCGCCCCTTCCCCCCTCCTCCCTTCGAGAAAGCGAAAGGGACGAGGAGGTATCCGTCCTCATCCCCCTCGTCATCCTCATGCCTCCTCCTCGGTGTTCCTCTCCCTCCGCTCCCCCATCTGGAACTCCTGCAGTTTAAAAACCTCTGAGACCATGCAGCGCATCCAGAATTAACTCGGGCCTGCCCCCCTACAGGGGGATTCCGGATGAAAAATTTAATTACCCTGGCGACGTACCCAACCCCTGCGCAAAAGCGGGGCGCAAATAGTTTAGGATACTTTATAAGGGGGCGATGACGGAGCGAGGGTTGCATATGTCTGCAGACGGAATTCGGAAGACTCGCAGGACACTGGCTACAGGAAAAGGGCTTGATAAAGCTGATGAGTTACAATTCCTGGGCACTCCTAGCCACTTCGAAAATGGTGATCACAGCAGGCCTCGAAAGTGGCGACAGTTTCACAGATCGCAGCCCCGCAGGGATGGCGAGGTCTAATTTGGGTCCGCGCGTGGCGTCACTGTGCCGGGCCCCCCAGCAGGCCTCGAAAGTGGCGACAGTTTCACAGATCGCAGCCTCCAGGGGATGGCGAGGTCTCATTTGAATCTGCCCGTGGCGTCACTGCGCCGGGCCCCTCAGCAGGCCTCGAAAGTGGCGACAGTTTCACAGATCGCAGCCCCCAAGGGATGGCGAGGTCTCGTTTGAATATGCCCGTGGCGTAACTGTGCAGGGCCCCCCAGCAGGCCTCGAAAGTGGCGACAGTTTCACAGATCGCAGCCCCCCCAGAGATGGCGAGGCCTAATTTGAATCCGCGCGTGGCCCTCACTGTGCTGGGCCCCCCAGTAGGCCTCGAAAATGGCGACAGTTTCACAGATCACAGCCCCCCAGGGATGGCGAGGTTTCAGAGGAATCTGCCCGTGGCGTCACTGTGCTGGGCCCCCCAGCAGGCCTCGAAAGTGGCGACAGTTTCACAGATCGCAGCCCCCCAGGGATGGCGAGGTCTAATTTGAATCTGCCCGTGGCGTCACTGTGCTGGGCCCCCCAGCAGGCCTCGAAAGTGGCGACAGTTTCACAGATCGCAGCCCCCCAGGGATGGCGAGGTCTAATTTGAATCTGCCCGTGGCCCTCACTGTGCTGGGCCCCCCAGCAGGCCTCGAAAATGGCGACAGTTTCACAGATCGCAGCCCCCCAGGGATGGCGAGGTCTAATTTGAATCCGCGCGTGGCCCTCACTGTGCTGGGCCCCCCAGCAGGCCTCGAAAATGGCGACAGTTTCACAGATCGCAGCCCCCCAGGGATGGCGAGGTCTAATTTGAATCCGCGCGTCGCCCTCACTGTGCTGGGCCCCCCAGCAGGCCTCGAAAATGGCGACAGTTTCACAGATCGCAGCCCCCCCAGGGATGTCGAGGTCTAATTTGAATCTGCCCGTGGCCCTCACTGTGCTGGGCCCCCAGCAGGCCTCGAAAATGGCGACCAGGGATGGCGAGGTCTAATTTGAATCTGCCCGTGGCCCTCACTGTGCTGGGCCCCCCAGCAGGCCTCGAAAATGGCGACAGTTTCACAGATCGCAGCCCCCCAGGGATGGCGAGGTCTAATTTGAATCTGCCCGTGGCCCTCACTGTGCTGGGCCCCCCAGCAGGCCTCGAAAATGGCGACAGTTTCACAGATCGCAGCCCCCCAGGGATGGCGAGGTCTAATTTGAATCTGCCTGTGGCCCTCACTGTGCTGGGCCCCCCAGCAGGCCTCGAAAAGTGCGCAAGCGAGGATCGCAGCAAAATGGCGACAGTTTCACAGATCGCAGCCCCCCAGGGATGGCGAGGTCTTCAGTGCTGGGCCCCCCAGCAGGCCTCGAAAGTGGCGACCACAGATCGCAGCCCCCCAGGGATGGCGAGGTCTATTTTGAATCTGCCCGTGGCCCTCACTGTGCTGGGCCCCCCAGCAGGCCTCGAAAATGGCGACAGTTTCACAGAGCGCAGCCCCCCCAGGGATGGCGAGGTCTAATTTGAATCTGCCCGTGGCCCTCACTGTGCTGGGCCCCCCAGCAGGCCTCGAAAATGGCGACAGTTTCACAGATCGCAGCCCCCCGCAGGCAAGACAGGAAGAGGCAGGGAGGGAGGAAGGGAGGGAGGAGGGACGCGACCACACTGCTCTATTCAAAACGAATACCCAACCAAGGAGGGTTGGGAAAAATAATCCAAAACCATCCACCCACATTGCCGAAACGTATTCATAACATAATCCCCAGACTTTTGTTTGACGATTTTTGTATAGATTCCCCCTGTAGAAGGACAGGCCCGACTTCAATCTAGAAGCGCGTGATGTTTTTTTTGGTGGGCCTCTACGTTCCCCTCCCCCCCGCGCTTCCTGCTGTTCCTTCTCCCCCTTCTCTTCCCACCTCTTTTCCACGACCCCTCATCTTGAAGACGACTGGAGAAGAAGATGCGGAGGAGTGGAGGAACCTGAACGAACAAATAAGGAGGACAGGGATACAAGGAGTAAGAGTTCTTGTTGCCATGGACGGCTGCACAGACAAGCTGCACGAAATGACTGGCAGGCAGGCGGAAGACGGAAAGTCGCACGCTCATGAGGAAAAGGGGTTTGGGCCACAACAACTTCCAGTTCAAGTAGTCCCTGCTGGCTGAGCTGGCCAATCACGACGAACTTGAGGCCTTCACGATCTCTTGCGCCCGCTCGTTGAACGTGTGTTGCGAAGTCGTGCCATCCTCCGACGCCTTTGCGCGGTGTCAGCGTCAATTCGCTGATTTCTGTGGCGGCCAACCGTGTTGCCAGAACGTCCCGCTGCAGGGGTCGTTCGGCCGTTCGCGGCGGAGAGCCCAGCTCCGCGTATGAAAACGCATGGGCACGCAAAAACCTATAATTCTGCCGGGCCCCGGCGGGACATCAGCGCCATCGCATATTGCGCCTGGTCGTTGAAGGCGAGCCGCATCCGCTGGCACAGGCCATCGTCCGAGAGCTGAACAGACAGGTCCCTGCCACCGCTGGAAACTCAAGCGACTTCAGGAACCACCACAGGATCAGCTTCATCAGTTGCGCCGCCGCGGACAGGAAAATGTGGCCAAACACCACCAGGTGCATGAACGACACCAGCCCCGTCGAGGAGATCACCACCATCTTTCTCTTCAGAGCCAGCGCCAACATACCGAAAATTATCTGCTGGTTCTTCAACGGCCTCACTTTCGCCGGCGATCGCCGATGCGAACAAGTCCTGCTCCAGCTTCCAGATGTCGTTCTTCTCCTGCGCCGTTTGCTTCTTCTTGAGCCGCTTGATCCTCCGCCTCTCATTCAATCTGGCCTCGGTAGGGGGCTTCTTCGGAGATGCCACTCCGCCGATGGTGGAGCATGCGGGAGTGGCGTTTTCCATATAGGCGTCCTCGATGCCGACGGTGTCCGCCAACACGGAGTCGTACTCGATGCCGTCAAACCCGAAAGCCGAGGCAGCGGTGTAGGCAAGTTCGGCGAACTCCTGGTCGAAATTGTCGGCCAAAACTCACTCTCGGCTTCAGGCTGTACGGGTCAACGATCTGGAAGATTCCTGGCGGCGGCGGCGTCGGAACAGAAAAGCTCACCGCCGTCGTACTGCTCTTCCTGCGCTTGTGACCTTGAAGAAGGTGCGTTTCCGACCGCTCTTCTGCTTGTTCCCCTGCTTGTTGTTCCCTTTGTCGCACTGGATCCTCTTCTTTTTCATCATGTTCGGATTCGGTGGGAGCGCCGGTGGCGTAGGAGTAGCACTCGCCGCAGAAAGCAGTGGGGGCAGCCTCATTCGCACCAGCAGCTCATCCGCCAGACCAGCACCCAGGCGCCTGGGAGGTGCAGGAGGCTTGAGCATCTTGCGGAAACACGCCTCCGCACGCACAACCATAGACTGGGCACCCACCAACTTGACGACCGACGGGGTCGCAGGCGTGCTGGTCGCTGGTGATGAGGATGCGCACGTCGTCGCCATTCCAGCCGACGTATCTAGGCTTCTCGTAAAGCTCGAAAGATACGAAGGAGACAGGAAACACGATAAGCATGCAGAAACGCGCTGCGCCGACATCCCCGAAATTCACTGCCACCGACGACAGGCCGTGCCGTCAGCAGCAGGGCTCAAGCCAACACCATTGCGGGGCCAGTGTCAGTACTCAGGCTCGAGCAAATCTTCGGCCCACGTGGCTTGATGGGAACGCTCCGCGACTTGAGCCAAAATGGGTAAGGCCATGAAGGAGTAGGAGGGAGAAGAGGGAGAAGGGGAGGGATCGCGGGGGGGAGGAAACGATGAGGAAAAGGGGATGGAGAGGGGAAAGCGATTAACGGCAATGCTTTGGGTCGCGCACGGATGCCACCTTGCTTGTCCAGGCTTACCTAAGCAAACCCCAGGGCTGGTCTGGGCCAGCCCCAAACCTTACCGGCCACGCGAAGGAAAGGATGAGGAGGGGAAACGAGGTCAGATGAGGAAGCAAGAGCCAGATCGGGCCAGGGGCGGCGCTGCCGACTCCGCCAGAAAGATTCAGGGTGTCAAAACAACGTCAGCTCATAATGGGTCCCCAGTCCCAACCAGGGGTCCAGACGCACCAGGTGTTCCAACTGCGTCTAGCCGTGGCGATGAAAGGGGCCCCTCGAAGGCCGACTACCGTTGTCTCAACTGGCCCTCCTTCGATTTCTGATTCTGCAATCGTGACATGTTCTTCGGCATGACATGGAGGGCGGGGAGGGAAGGGGAAACCAGGGGTCTCCTTGGACCCCGTCAGCTCGTCCTTCAGCTCCCCGATCTCCACCTCCAGGGAGCTCAGCCGCGCGGTGGCCTTCGCCAAGCGCGGGCGGGCCGAGGCCGAACGAGGGCGGCCGGCGTCGTCGACGTCGCCCTCCACAGGGGAGGAGGAGGAGGAGGAGGAGGAGGAGGAGGAGGAGGAGGAGGAGGAGGAGGAGGAGGAGGAGGAGGAGGAGGAGGAGGGGGAGGGGGAGGGGGAGGAGGAGGAGGAGGAATAGGAGCAGGAGGAGAAAGAGGAGCAACATCAAAAAACACGGGGGATGTTTTGCATTATTTTCGGTAACGGTCGCTACCCCGGAGTATTGGGGGTGGGGCACGGGGTAGCGGTAACGGTAACGCTTGGGCGGGGTGGGGCACGTTGGGGCGGGGGTGCGCTGCGATCGCCATAGTATGCTCGCGAGCGCCAACATGTGTGGAGGGGTCGGGTCCAGGCTTCTCCCCGACGTGCAAGCATTACCGCTACCAAGAACGAAGGGCGGGGGGCCTGCGTAACGGCCGTGGCGCGACAGAGGATCACACATAACCAAGCAAAGCACCTTAATAACAGCAAGGGTAACAAAAACGAGTCGAGGAGCTTGAGCAGGAATCAGCTATAGGGTCAAAAGTGTCACCACGGCTTTGCACACACCTGAGTCATTCATTTGCGGAAAATTCGGCGGTGGCAAACCTCCCTTTCATAAACCTCCCCTTAGTGAAACCGGCCTGGGACCGAAACCGACGGACCTGGACCCGCAAAAATGACGGCCGCGACGCCCTCTCGCGAAGCGAAACCGGCCAATCCGCTAATCGACGCGTCAGGGTAGGAGGTCTATCCACCTCCGAAAAATCGTGGACGTCAGAACAACAATGTGGCCGGCACTGAAGGGACAGCTCGGGTGAAAAGGATGCCGAACCAAGGGTTCTCGGGCTCCCCGCTCCCCCTTGTGGGACTCTTCTGTGGTCCGTTCTTACATCCATCGTAACACATTAAGACCTTCTGGCGACCTTCTGTGGTCCGTTCTTACATCCATCGTAACACATTACAGTCGGACTTGATAGGAAAGGACACGCAAGAAGACACAAGACCCTTCCGAAGGCCACATCGCCATAGGAATGTAAGAAAACACGCGTCGCGAGGCATCGGACACAAGGGTACCCTTGATCTGGCAGGGTCGACCTACTAATCCGGGCCGCCTGTAGGACCTTCTGGCGACATGCTCTCATGGAGCAGTCTCGGGGAGGAGGAACATATGAACATGACCGAAGGACAGGGAAACGAAAACGGTGTGGTGGGGGGCGGCCGGGTTGAAGTTCAGCCGCGAGAGCGCGTCCTGGGGTCCCGCGGGTGGGCGCGGGCGCCGCGGGGGCTGCGGGCGACACGCGGGGGGGTCAAAGGGGGGGGGATGGATTGCGGATGGAGGTGGGGCGGTGGAGAGGGGGAGGGGGAGGAAGGGGAAGGATGGAAAAAAGAGATGAATGACCACGCCCGGTTCACGGGGCACGGCGGTCATCGGCAAAGCGCTGGAAACTGTGGGGCGGTTCGCGGGAGTCCCGCGCTGGCACAACAGAGGGGCAGGAACGGGAGGACGGAGGGAGGAAAAACACGGAGCAAGAGCAACGCTCACGGACGTTCACGGGTCAACTCGACAGGATGACATGTGGATTGCTCAACTCGTGTCGACACTGGCGACAACGAGGAAGCGCGGATCGGACGAGACGAAAAAGACTGAAGGGGGCGGAGGGAACATCGTGGGAGAAGGGGTGGTGAATGACGGAGAAGGATGGAGGACGATGCTGGACTAGGACTGCGGGGGGGTCCAAGCGAGAAAGAAATCATGGCGGCAATGATCTGTAAGCGTTACTTTCTTTTCTCAAGAAATCAAACTGCTCCGGCGCTCAAGCCTAGATAACAACGCTGGCGGAATGAACGGGAAGAAAAAGAGGGAAAGCCAGAACTGTCCAACACCCGTACACCTTCCCAATCCGCAAACGATTCCCAGCCGCCACGCGGGGGGTGCGCGCGCCAGGCCAGCGGCGCGGGTGCTCACTGACTGCACTCAGAAGGGCACTCTCTTAATGAAGGGCCCTGCCTCACAGGGTCTTTGGACCTGGCTAACAGCGCACTAACTAACGACAGCCTGATTTATTAGCACGGATGAAGTCTGCACTCGCGACAACGCGGGAAAAATATAAGACGCAAGCCGTTCGAAGATCACTCGTGGGCCCAATCGTGTCCAAAGCCATTCGCAGTTCGCGGGCACATTCGCGGGAATTTGTGGGCCGGCGGTGGGGCGAGACAAAAAGCGGTGCATTCCATGAGCAGCTGCGAAGGGAGGCCATCCCCGACGTTTATGCCTCGAGGAACAGCATCGAGCAGCCAACCTTGCTGGCGCGGGGTGGTCAGCCGAAGACCGTGACTGCGCGTTCGCGCGCGCGCGCGCGTGCGAGACGGCCGCGCGTCGCGGTCGGGGCGACGGAAAGTCTGACCAAAGCCCGACGACACGCGACCTGTGACCCGCCAAGGCGAATGGGGCGAGGACGCGGCGAGGACCTGCGCTGGCATGGGGGGGCGGGGAGCGAGGAGTTTTCCATGGGGGCGCGTGGATGACGACGATGTCCCGCGCTGCGCCCCGCCGCTCAGCCCCTGTCCCCCGCCTCGCCTGTGCGAGGCTCGTCCTCGTAGGCGGGCGTCCCCGCGGCCTCTGCGCTGTCGTCCGCTGCGGGCTCCGCGGCGCCCACGTCTGGCGACGCCTGGGCGTTGGTCCCGTCGTCGGCTGCCGCGGCCGTCTTCTACTGGTGCAGGGCCGCGCGAGTCTGGTCTCGCTTCCTCGTGCTCTCGAGACCGCCCCGACGCCGACGGGTCTTCTTGGGGGGTCAATCGGCTTATCGGACCTGGCCGTGGGCGCCTCCGCCTGCTTGCCCTTGCCCTTGCTGCCCTTGCGACCCGCGTCGCCTTTCTTGTCGCGCCTGGACTGCCGGCGCCGCGCCTTGCCCAGGCTGCCGATGGGCGCCCGAGATCCCGAGGCGCGCCTGCAATTGGGCGGCGGCCAGAGTACGCGGTCGCGCGCGAAGTCCCCGCTGGGGCGCTGGCGCGGGCGCGTGCCCGCGCCCTGGTATCCGGGCGCGCGCGCGGCGAACCCTGGTTGACAAAGTGGCCGTGGGGCCCAGGTTCTTGGCTCTGAGCCAGCTGACAAAGACGGCCTGCTCTGCTGTTCGAGCGACCAGGGGCGAGGCCGGGTCCTCTGGGCCCCGTTGCCCATGGCCATCGCTCGATCCTCGCCGGCGCCTGGCCGGGGAGATCAGGCCGCGAGTCCCCGGCGCTGGCGGCGCGCAAAGCGGCGCTCACGGGTCAGTGATTAGATCTAGTTCGGCGCTGGGAAAAGATCAGGACTACCGGCGACAAGGTATCCACCTCGATCGCGGGCGGCGCGCCTGGACCGATGGCGCGCTGCCCGATCGCGACGCATACATCAATGTCAGGTGCAAGGCGCGGCCGCGCGCCCGCGCGCCCGTCGGAGAAGAGCACGGGCCTCGACATTCCAGGCGACTCAAGGTAACATCCGAAGGGCATCGGGCCCGCAACGGCCCCCGATATCTCCAAATGACGCTTCGCTTCTCCGTGCATGGCAGCCCGG